TAGGAAAAGAGTATTATCAAGCTGAGTAGGAATATTGATTCCATAGTGCTTGATAATAAATTTTTTTGCTTATAGATAATATTTAGTTTCATAGTCTTGTTGAATTTGTGAGATTGAAAATTTGGGTTGTTGAAGAATATTATGATAAAGAATTATTCGAGCAAGAGTATGAAGATCAGTGATTGGAGTAATAGTTTTTTCTAGAGCTTCGTCAAGTTTAAGATTAGAGATATTGTCATTTTCTGCTGCAGTATTAAGGTAGGCTTTAAGGTAGGAATATAGGTAGTAGGCTGTTCATTTGGTGGTTGTGTCTGTTTCATTAATTTCTGCAAATTTTTGATCTGCTTTAAGGGCCAAATCATTTAATGTATAAAGTGGAATTGATTTTTGAAATGTTGCAGTATGTTGTTGATCAGATAGAAATATAGAGAAGTCAGGATCGAAAGGAGTTAATTTAGTAGTATCATCTTTAGGTGGTGCAGAAAAGTATTTAAATGAATTATTAAAGAAAAGTGTAGATAAGTTTTTAAGATTATGTTCTGTGTCTTTAGGGAGAATTGTACAGTTTTTATCAATGCATGTATAAATGCGATGAAGTGCTTTTTTGGATGTTTGGAAAGAGCGATCTTTAAGAGATGAAGGTTCTGTAATTTGAAAGTCTGAGGACAAAAGTTTTTTGCATTCTTCTGCTAAAGTAGTTGCGATTTGGTATTTGATATGGTTGCATACTTTATCTTCGTTAATTTCTGTGAATTGCTTGCGGTATGCTTTAATGAAGTCTTCAAACAAAGAGTTGAGTGTATCGGTGTGTGGTTTTAAAGATAGGATTCTAAAGGTATTAAGGAATTTAGATTTGGGAATGTTAAGGGTAGTTGTAATAGTAAAGCAGTTATTATTATAGATACTAAATAAGGGTTTTTTGGGGGTATCATATTCAAAGTTATATTGGATTGAGAGATGAAAAGGATGGAGATCAAGTTTTTCTACAAATTTTTGATAATGAATTGTTCTATATTTGTTATGAAGGAAGAGATATATGCAAGCAAAATTAATTGCTACTTTAGAGTGGTCAGCAATAGTATAAGAAGAGATTGAGTAATGAGATCTAAAGATATAAAGATAATTAAGTTTGGTAAAGAGAAGTTCAGTAAATTTAGTAAGTAAGTTTTTAAGAGTAGAGATATATGCATATTGAGGAATAATCAATTTTGGAGTTAAATCAGGATTAGATTTTTGGAAAAATTGAGTAAGGAATTCTGGTCTTTCAGAAGCTATAGATTTAAGTAGATAGTTAAAGCTTTGTTTTTGGGAGGTTTAGAGGATTGATCTTTGTTTGGGTTAGGAATTAGTTGCCTAGGAGTAAATTTGCGAAGATGAGTTTTGGTGAAATTAAATAGTTGTTGTGAGAGCATAGTGTTAAGTTTGGTGTTTTGTTCTATTTCTTGAGAAATTGGGTAAGTTGCAAACCAATCTAAGTCCTGAGAAGTATCTCTGGGTTTAGATTGGTTGGTTTGTTGATTTGGATTTTGTTGTTGAGATTGTTTAATTGGTTTGATTCTGGTAACAAGTTTTCAAAGAAGATTAATTTTTTTTTCTTTGGAGAGTTGAAAAAAGTGACAGAAATAGAAAATAGAGTGTTGTTCTTGTGTTAGAGGTTTGGTAAGAGGGGTGGGTTTAAGTTTAATATATTGAAGATTGTGTTCACAATCTTGGTGAATTAGATAGCCTTTGAAAATTTTAACTTTGGAGTAATTAGGAGCGTGTCTTGTCTCTTGGATGAAAACACAAGAAATACTTTTAATTTTGCAGATATAGCATATATAATAGTGTTGTGAGTGTGAAACAATTTCAATTAGTTTGGGGTCTGTATGAAGATTGGAGGGTTAAATTTGGGAGGATGATTGAAGACTTTGTTGTTGTTTTGAGATAGGGGATTTAGGAAGTGTTTCATTGATTCTGTTAAATCGACCAGTAGAGATAATTGTAGTTGGAGAAGTTTCCGTTGCTAAGAGACTAGTAGATTGATTAGTTGGTTTAGGATGTTTGATTTGATAAAATTTAGAAGTAAAATTTGTATGGTATTTGCCACAAAGACAAGTAGTTAAGGCTAGCTGAGTCAGCATTTTAAAATAGTGATGAAATTTGTTAGGTTCGCAAGTAAGAGGATTGACATCTTTAGGTAGAATACATAAGGTAGTTGGGTCAGTATCTTTGGTACCAATACCAAAGCGTTCTGGATATTTGTTGTAAAAATAGTCAAGATTATGTGAATCGGGCTCTTCTGTTGTTAAGATAGGCATTTTGGTAGATTAATATAGCAAGAGTATCAAAGAGAGTAAGGAAAGCTTCGTGATATAGTAAAATTTGTTTCGTATAATATTGCACTAACTGTATAAATTTTGTGGCTAGTGTGGTGTGGCTGGTGTGGCTTGTAGTACAAAAGATGGCTTGTGTGACTAGAATAAATTTGGTAGTAAGCTTGTACGGATTTGTATAATTTTAAAATGATTACAGATTTGTAATTATAAATTAATTAGAAATTAAAAAGGAAATTGTTGCAAAGAATTATTAATTGAAGGAACCACTAATTTTAGTTGTTCGAAAACGTGTTTAGGTCCGAAATTAGATGGGGGTAAGGAGAAAAGAAAAAAAAGAAAAAAATTTTTAAAAGACTTTTAAAAGGGAGTTTATAGAAAGTTTTTGCTATAAGTTAGTCAAATTTGGTCTGTTTTTGGTGTTTTTTTTATATTAAAATAGAGCTGTGAGAGAGCTGGAGAGCCCTGTCTCTATAAAAGAGCAGGTTTCCTTAGCTAAATTTGAGCTAGAAAGCAGTGTATCTATTTAGAGCAAATGTTGTATATTTAATTAAGAAACAACCCAAAGGTTGTAAAAATTGAGAGCTATGTGTAATTTGGCCTTAGGAACAAGTTTTATTATTTAGAAAAGATAACTTTAGTTAATAAAATTAAGAGAAAAATAAATTTTTGCTTTAGTTAAATTTGGTACAAGTGATCATCAAAAAGAGTTAGTGAATCGGTCCTAACTAACTGAATTTAATGAAACACTTTTTATATTAATTCTGTGAATTTAAAGAATTAAAATAAAAAAAATTATCAAATTTGAACATCTGGTTGTTGAGAAATATTTATTAAAGGTAAAAAAATATTTGGTTGCAGCTTTCTTTTTTGAGTTATCCAAACTTTTAATGAATATTTCTCAATAACTAGCTATTTGAATTAAATTATTTTTTTTTATTTTAATCACATAAAGCTATAATTAAAATAAAAAAAATTATATTAAATTCGGATAGTTGACTGTTGAGTAATCCTTCATTCAAATTTAGATATCTTTAAAAAAAAAGCTGTGGCCAAATTACTTTTAGCTTTTAATAAATACTTCTTAACAACTAGCTATTTAAATTGATAATTTTTTTATTTTAATTCTATGAATTCACAGAATTAAAATAAAAAAATTCAAATTATTAGTAGTTGAGAAATCCTTGGTTAAAGTTTAAAGAAAGAAAATATTACCTGATTTTTTCAAAGATATTTGAAGTTTTTATAAAACTTTCAGTGGTAATATCCTAACAACTACTAAATCAAATTTAATAAATTTTTTTTATTTTAATTCTAGCAACTTATAGAATTAAAATAAAAAAAAATTGATAAATTTGATTAAGTGGTTATTGAGAAATCATCAATAGAAATTTTAAAAAAATCATGTGATCTGCAGTAAAAATCACTTGCAGTGATATTTAGCAAACCCCAAATGTTACAATTAAAACTAAATAAAGCTTAGCTTATTATTACATAAAAATTATTAATAATTTATTAATATCTGGGTTATAAACTTTATTTATTATTATTATTTTTTTTTTAAATGTTGATAGGTCTCGCAGTGACTAATCTTATTTATTAATATTTATAATAACATAAATATATAAATTTCAGATAAGAAGTCCGACTTTACTCAGTTCCATATTGCGATGCAAAATCTAACTCAGGTCTAAGAGCAACTTTGTTCTACCAGATTATGGATGACTGGAATTATCCAAAAAAAAATTCTATAAAAAACAAAAACGAACTATAACTAAAAAGGCAAAATGAGCAAAGGAGGAAAAAGTGAAAAAAGTGAAATAAAAAATAAAAAAACCCAAAAAAAAAACAGGAAAAAATAAAAAAAATTTTTATAGAACCAGAATAAAGTGTAAAGAGGAATTTTACCTCTCTATGTACTAAGAATGCACTATTATAACTTGTGCAAGGCTAAAAAATTTTATAACAAATACAACAATTGTATATCTCTAATGTAAAGCTTCACCTTAATATATAAAGTTCTTCTAACTTATAACTACTTTTGGATATTTCTTTAACCAGAGGTCCCAATTTGACTTCTCCAAAGTAGCACCGTATTTATAAACAAACATGTCACATGGTTGTATTTTACTGAGTTTGTCTGAATTTGAAAAATAAACAATGCCAATCTTTTAGAAGAGGTAAGCCAAATTCCTACTTTTTGTAAAAAATTTTGGAAGACTGACGAGAGAGCAAGAAAAAGAAAGAGAAGAGCTACCAAAACCAAAAGAAAGAGTGTGGCTTTAGAAAAGAAAAAGTTTTGTTGTTTCTCCTGTGTACTTCTTTGAATAAAGTAACAATCTAGAAACTTCATTGACAAAAGTGAGCTCTTTGCCTACACTCTACCAAGATTTTTTATACAAGGGTGCCTCTTGCTAGTTAACTTGTATAATAATGCTTTTGGCTTGTATGCCAAATATCTCTTTATAGGAGTCCTGTATAGCAAAATGTTGACCTCTAGACAAACCATAACATAGGCCACAACTCTTCAACAAAAAATTTTATTTTTCTATTAGTGGGAAAATTTGGTTTTAATGATTATCGGAAAAAGTTGGTGAATATCCAGGTTAAAAACTTTATTAAATATATATACTCTTTAAATATATTATATATTTATTAACATCAATATCTAATTTTTTTAAGTAATTAGCTATTTAATTTCAAATTTCTAGATTATCTATTTTCTAAATATTTTTAAATTCATTATAATCAATCCAAGAAAATGCCTGGAGTAAATGGTGTCTATGCAACACCAATTCCAATTCTTCTGAGCTAGTATAAATTCTTTTAGCCAGTTGATAAAAGAAGTAATAAAGTGAATCCTCTTAAAAACATAAGCAATTAATAAACATAAAATACTAACCTTTGCTTTTCTATTTCCCAAATATTTCTGAATTTATTACAATTAATTCAAGAAAATGTCTAGAGTAAATAGTGTCAATTCAACACCAATTCTAATTCTTCTGGGCCAGTAAAAATTTTTTTAACTGGTTGATAAAAGTGTTAGAATGAATCCTCTTAAAGACATAAGCAATTAATGTCATGGATTATAATGAAATTAGATTTAAATGAAACTGAGGACCTTTCTTGCTCATCTTTAAAGCTTATAAAACCTACTTATACTCTTTTATTAATAAAATTAACTCTAAGCCCTAACCCTAACACTAACACTAACCCAAAAAATGACACCTAAAAAATTTAAATTTTCCTAAAAAAATAGAAAAATTTCATTTTAATCTAATTTCATTTTAATCTGCCACGATTAATAAACATATTCCCAAAATCTCTTCGATTTCATCCTATGGATCATCTAACTCTTCGGAAAATACACCACTATCTCCGGAATGAAGTTCCGAAGACAATGACGTGATTCTGAAGAGATAGGTGACATTTAGGACGAAACCGAAGAGATTTCGGGAAATACTAGCCTTTGTTTTTCCATTTTCCAGATATTTTTAAATTTATTACAATCAATTCAAGAAAATGCCTAGAGTAAATGGTGTTAATTCAACACCAATTCTAATTCTTCCAAGCTAGTAGAAATTCTTTTGACTGGTTGATAAAAGAAGTGTTAGAATAAATCCTCTTAAAGACATAAGCAAGTAATAAACATAAATACTAACTTTTGCCTTTCCATTTTCTAAATATTTCTGAATTCATTCTAATCAATTCAAGAAATGCCTGGAGTAAATGGTGTCTATTTAACACCAATTCTAATTTTTCCGGGCTGGTGGAAATTCTTTTGGCCAGTTAATAAAAGAAGTATTAGAATAAATCCATTTTCCAAGTATCTCTGAATACATTTCAATCAATCCAAGAAAATGCCTGGAGTAAATAATATCTATTCAACACCAATTCCAATTCTTCTGGGCTGGTAGTGAATTCATTTTTCAGATATTTCTGAATTCATTACAGTTAATCAAATAAAATGCCTGGAGTAAATGGTGTCTATTCAGCACCAATTTCAATTCTTCTGGGCTAGTAGAAATTCTTTAGCTGATTGATAAAAGAAGTGTAAAATTAATTCTCTTCAAGAAATAAGCAATTAATAAACATAAAATACTAACCTTTGATTTTTCTATTTCTCAGATATTTTCAATCAATCTAAGAATTACTAGAGTAAATAGTGTCTATTCAACACCAATTTTAATTTTTCTGAGCTGGTAGAAATTCTTTTAGCCAGTTGATGAAAAAAGTATTAGAATGAATTAATTTTCTGAGTATCTCTGAATTCATTTCAATCAATCTAAAAAAATTCCCAGAGTAAATAGTGTCCATTCAACACCAATTCCAATTGTTCTGGGCCGGTAATAAATCTATTTTCTGAATATTTCTAAATTTATTACAGTTAATCTAAGAAAATACCTGGAGTAAATGGTGTCTATTCAACACCAATTCCAATTTTTCTGGGCCAGTAGAATTTTCTTTGGCCAGTTAAAGACATAAGCAATTAATAAACATAAAATACTAACCTTTGATTTTCTATTTTCCAGATATTTCCAATTAATCCAAGAAATGCCTGGAGTAAATGGTGTCTATTCAACACAATTCCAATTCTTCTGGGCCAGTAGAAATTCTTTTGGCTGGTTGATGAAAGAAGTATTAAAATAAATTTATTTTCTGGGAATCTTTGAATTCATTCTAATCAATTCAAGAAAATTTCCAGAGTAAATGGTGTTCATTCAACACCAATTTTAATTCTTCCAGGTTGGTAGTGAATTCATTTCCTGGATATTTCTAAATTCATTACAGTTAATCCAAGAAAATGCCCAGAGTAAATAGTGTTTATTCAACACCAATTCCAATTCTTCCAGGCTAGTAGAAATTCTTTTGGCTAGTTAAAAACATAAAATACTAATCATTTCCAATCAATCCAAGAAATGTCTGGAGTAAATGGTGTCTATTCAATACCAATTTCAATTCTTTTGGGCCAGTAAAAATTCTTTGGCCGGTTGATGAAAGAAGTATTAGAATGAATTCATTTTCTGAATATCTCTAAATTCATTCTAATCAATTCAAGAAAATTCCTAGAGTAAATGGTGTCTATTCAACACCAATTTCAATTTTTCTAGGCTAGTAGTGAATTCATTTCCTAGATATTTCTAAATTCATTACAGTTAATCTAAGAAAATGCCTGGAGTAAATAGCATTTATTTAACACCAATTTCAATTCCTCTGAGCTAGTAGAAATTTCTTTGACTGGTTAAAGACATAAGCAATTAATAAATATAAAATACTAACCTTTGATTTTCTATTTTCTGGATATTTTCAATTAATTCAAGAAATAATAGTGTTTATTCAACACCAATCCCAATTCTTCCAGTTGGTAATCTTGGTTCCTTAGACTCTTTTACAGCTATTTTTAGGGATGTTATATAGTCCAGTCTTAGACTAATAGACTACAGTTAGTTTTAAGATCAGTCTGAGCTAAAAAAAATTGATCTGCTCTAAGTCTTAATACTGGATCAGTCTAGACTAGCAAAGTTTTAAGACTGAAGACTATAATAGGCCAGACTAGACTTGGACAAAAATTAGCCAGACTGAACCAGTAACATCCCTAACTGTTTTCATAAATTTTAAAACAAACTAAAAATTTGGTCGCTTTCCAAAATCTCTTCTGTTTTATTCTAAAGATTATAACTCTTTAGAATCTGGTCTGAAGATAGCAATATATTTTTTGAAGAACTAGATGATCTATAGAATAAAACTGGGAGATTTTAGAAAACGAGCAAATTTTTAGGTTGTCCCAGAATCTATGCTGTTAAAGAATTTGCATCTAGTATAGGAAGATTATTTTATCATATTGCTTGTAGTGCTTTTTTTCTTACCAAAAATCGAAAAGGAGTTAGTTTAACTAATATATTGTTATTATCTCAACTAAATAAAATTAAATATATTCAAATTTATTAAAGAAAAAACTAAAAATTAAATGTAGTTAAGGTTGAGTTAGTTTGGATTGTAAAAAAATTGAATGCTAGCAAAAATGCAAAGATACTTGAATTTTTCTATTTGCTTAATTGATTCTTGTTGTTTTATATTTTTTCTTTGTCATTTTCAGCCTCACTTTTATTCTTTTCATATCTGAATCTTTTTTTTTTCATTTTTTTTAACACCACTTCTATCTTTTTTTAGCTTCACTTCTGTTCTTTTTGATTTTAACTCCTTTTTATCTTTCTTAACTTCAATTTTGTCCTTTTCGTCCTTTTTACTTCTAACTTCATAAAATTTCAAGCAGGTTAGTATCTATTCTCTTTCTCTACTTTTACTTCTTCTTCATGAATGGTATCAGGGTTGCTAAAGATAAATAATTTTCAAAATTTGGGCTTAGTTGCTACCTTTCATAGTTGTACTATTATAGTTATGTTAATCTTACCTTAGTAGTACATATTAAAGTGGCCAAAGTTTTGCAAGTTTATTCAATCTGGCAGCATTGCTTTTTCTAGAAAACTTTACTGAAATTAGTCAGTAATACTTAAATTTTTTTTGAATTTAAAAGTTTATTACCTCATTCGTTGCCTAAATTTGCCTAAATTTGCTCTCTAAATGAAGTCTTTTAGGATACTGATCTATACTAATCTTTTTTTATTAGAGATGTATAAAGAGATAAAAAATATATTAAGACAGTTTTAAAAAAATTTATTATATAAAACTATGAGTTGCTAATTGACGATATAGTTTTTTATAGTAAGAGTTACTTTAAAAATTTTAATTTATGTTGTATAACTCAGTGATTTTCAAGCCAATCAAATCGAATATCCACTATGCTGATATTAACTATTTATTAGAATTTGTGCAGAGTTTAATAAAAACTAATTTTTTATTAAATTAATAACTAAAGCCAATTAATTAAAAGTTATAAAGCTTACTAAAAATAATTAAATTGACTAAATTGGTCTAGTAAATATTAATATATTATTAAAAAATAATTAGTTAACTATATAAAATTCTACAATATTGCTAAATCACACTACTAGTATTCAATACCACAATAATATTTATTATAAGTTGCAGCATAATATAAAAATCAGGTGTAATATAGGCTTTTTGTTTTTTTTTAAAAAAAATGCGTAACTCAAAATTTTGTTTATAAAACTACTTTTTAAGCTCTAATAAAAAAATTTCTTGCAAAATTTTGGAATAAACTAAGCTCATATTTTATTTTAACTCTAACTCTAATCTTAATCAAATTTAATTTTGTTTTTATAAAATTATTTTGATTTATATATTACACTGCAGTTTATTATTATAGTATTGAATATCATAGGTGTGATATATAATTTTTGAAATTCTATATAAACAAATATATAAATTTTATATAATAAAAGTGTAGTAACATAGTATAGTAGTTGTGTTGTTGCACTTCCAAGCTAGCTTGATACTAAGTTCAAATCTCACTACTGATGATTTAAACAAAACTACTTGTTTTATAGTAACAGATTTTCAATGATAAGTTAGGTTCTAGGACCTATAGCAATACACTAAAAGATTCTAAAAGTATTTGTATAATATGAGTTATACAGAAAATCTGAAATATATAAAACAAAAAAAAACTTAAAAATCTGAAACTGGCTTGACAAAACCTAAGTTTAGAAGTAGTAAGAGTATAATAGTACTATAAAACTGTATTAGTCTGAACTAAAAACTAGAAAAACTTAATATTATAAAATTTAATGTAGGATCTACCAACCTAGCTACTAGAGTCATACTAGAAAAAACATATACTTTGAAAGCATATACCAAGAAAAGAAAGACTATTAAGCACTTAAAGCCTAAGCAGATCAACTTTGCTAAGCTAACTGAATTAGTAGTTTAGTAAAACCAGGAACACAACCAAGAAAAAAATGATGAAGTGGGTACTGAGTTCAAGACTATTAAACTATACAAAGACAAAAATAGATAACTGTAAAGGTAACTCTTAAGTATATTGGTCAAGCTATAGTATAGATTATTAAAGTTTAAGTAAAAATATATAAGTGGTATATATTCTAGCAAGTAAATTCTGAAAGATGAAGTTTGTTATTATTCTAATAAGAATTGGTTATAGGTTAGATACAAAACTAGAAATACTTGAGTTTATCAGATTAGATAATTCTTTAATATAAATAGTAGATATAGCTCTAGTTTTAATATATATTAATTTAGTTAGAATTTGAGTCTTTATAATAGTTGTATTTAAATATTTAGTTTATATTAAAGTATCAAGAGAACAAACCTTACTTTAAAAAAATTATATAGTTAGCCAATTATTTTTAATAGTATATTAGAATTTACTAGACCAATTTGAATAATTTAACTACTATTAAATATGTCTTAGTAAGCTCTACAACTTTTTATTAATTAATTTTAATTGCTAATTTAATAAAAAATATTTTTTAAAACTCTGCTTAGATTTTAGCATATAATAAAAATTTATATTATACTTATTCACAAAATTTACTATTGTCCCAATATAGTAATTATACTAACCTTATTCAAATCATCAATTAATTTATTTTCTTTAATATTTCTAATAAGCTTTGTGAATTATAGATTTTATATATGATAGTATATATAACTATATATATTTATATTTATATTTAGCCTCTCTATTATAATTTATATAATATATTCTATCTAAAAGAATCTACTTAGCTATATCTTTATATTTTGTAGCTTTAAGTTACAATTTTTTAATGTAATTATAAATATCTTTATTTCTACATATAAATCTTTGTGTTATTTTTAAGAGTCACATGTCTGACATTAAGCTTTAAAAGTATTATATTAGTTGCAATTTGCAAATTTTTTATTTCAACTAATTCTTAGAATATTCTATAGAATAGATAAGCAGACTCCACAAACTCTGCAACTTCACTAAATATTTATTAATAATTACTAATTAGTAGCAGAGTTTATTTTTTATATTGCCTACCTATTCTATAGAACATCCAATTCTTACTTATTAACTATAATTTTAAGATAGTTTAATATATTACTATTATATAGTACTATATATAATACAATTGTACTAAAATAAGTGATTTAATAAGAAATAGAAGCTAATTTATAATTTTCATGAGATAGAATAGCTTAAAGTGCAGCAAAAATTTTTTGATATATTTTAGACTATATATACAAACTAATTTAATATAAATATAAAAAATATATTATTTTATTATACCCACTATTATGATTATTTTTGATTAAATAAAATTTAAAAGTAAAAAGAAACTATTTATTTTTTTGTAATAATGGGAATAAAACTAGTTATATGAAAATACTTTTGGTTCCATATAAGGGAAGTGCAGGAAATTATGTAATTTTTTAGGGGGGAGGGGGGTCCCCATTTTATCATGTCCTATATATACATATATAGTCAAATATCTAATAATATTAAAGTATTTTTTATATTAAAAATTATAATATTATATTATTATCCAGATTTGAATTACTCAACAACCAATTATCCAAATAAGCTGAAATTTTTACTGTTAATAAATATGATATCAGGCTATAACATATTAAATTTTATGCAATTTGAATTAGAAGTTCTTGAGAAATTGCTTAAAAACTATATATAATTGTGTTATATAAATTGTATATAGTTTTTAAGTAATTTCTCAA